AGCACACGCAACAAAAATGACCTCAAAGGCCTCCATTCGGGGTTAAGATGGCAATGAAATGTATGGGCTTCGGGCCACAGGAGAATAAACACGTTTTTCATCTACACACTGGTGTCTGTTGTAAAAGGTAAGCGATTAATTGGTCCATAAAAGCACGTAGCTTACACTTGTAGAGATGAAAAGCCTGTCTGTATTCTTCTTTGGCCCGAAGCCCATGCATTTCACTGTCCTCTTAAGCGCGAATGGAGGTCTTTGGCGTCATTGTCGCTGCGTGTGCTCGCGCACACCGGCGGCTGCTGGCTCGTGGAAAGAACGCGCGCCACTAATTATGGACACTAAATTCCTTGGTTCAGTATCCCTTTAACGAAGAAAACGCGCCACTTTTCCTTGACTCGTCCATGTTGAATGAAAAACAAAATGTTCGCGTTAGTTGAACGATTATCGGATTTCCAGCTTCCAATACCTATTGTTGACGTAAGAATAAATGGGTCTTTTCCGGAGCTTCCATGGCGCACGTGCAGCAGTAACAGACCGGGAGTCCGCCATTTTTGATCGCGTGGTGCGTCCGGCTCGGGACTCTACGGGAAGCAGCAGCGGTCACGTGTTTTTAAGTTTAGCCCAACGCTGTTCCGTTGTCGGCTGCTGAGCACCGACAGCTAGCGTTGTCGCGGTTTAAGTTTCTTCAGGTTTCCTTCAATTAGCCTGCACCCGACGAAGCGGCAGCTGTGGATTCGGCCGCTCTGGCGAAACAATGCGCACGGCTCGTAAAGGCAGCCTTCGAAGCATTCCCGCGTTTGCACTCGCCACTTCAAGGGAGGCTCATGTTTCTATCCCTCTATTTGTTATTGGTGTGTAAATGCAAGTCAGCTCCCGGGTTCGCAGTTGCCACTTCAAGAAAGGTAAATGTTTTTTTCTTTATTTTTGTTGGTGTGTATATGCAAGCCAGGTATCGCGTTTGCAGTTGGTACTCCAAGGAAGGTTCATGTTTTTGTTCCTTTATTTTCTTATTGGTGGGCAAATACACGTTAACAGATTGAGTAGGTATACTTTCGTGCTACTCATAGGTAGTGTTCTGTGTTTTCAAATAAATCGAAAAAACAAAAAAAAAACACACACGCCGGTAAAGGTTTGGTCAATTCTAATTTATTAAAAAAAAAAAACAATTTTCAGGCCACGACGCCACAATAAAAAGGAAAAAAAAAGACTTTATTTTCAAATAAGTTGCGCGAGAGCCAGGGGCAGATGTAGGGCCGGGGGGGGGGGGGGGGGGGGGGCGCTTTTCTAAGCTTCAAAAGGTCAACTTTTTTTAATGAAAGAATGTATACACACCAGCCAAAAGGTTAGTTCTTGGTGACAGCAAATATTGGGTCAACAAAATCGATCATGGCAACGTTCAGGCCAGGATCAATTTCGTTTACAGGTCTTCCGTTCAGACCATCGAAAGGATTTGTTCCTACTGCATAGCTAAACAGATATACGTAGTTCTGACTTGGCCGAAATGTAGCTCCAACGGTTGATGCCAGTGCGTGACGAAATTTGAGACCTTATCGCTGTATAATAGTATGCCGACCACTATAAAAACAAAAATCTGCTGTCAGAAAAAACAAGAACTAACCCCTTTTTGTTAAAAACAAATATCCTCCATAACTTTTTTTTAGAGAGAACACTGTGTGTTTTTATCATTTTGGCATTTTGCACAAACGATAAAGCCGCAGTTGTCAGTCCGAAAATTGAAGCGGTGCGTTTCCTGTACTCAGAAGACGAAAAATAATCAGTTTTTGTCGGCCGCGATTCCAAGTGGAGCATACAGGTGCTAAGGCAACCAACTGCGGCGCTGCACGTCACTCCCTTTTAACGTAATCATGCCCCCAAAACACCTGATGTATTTATTGCCGCTTTTTTCATTAATAACAGGCTGCCTCTACGGCATCAATGAGTTCTACCCATAGGCACTTGACTGTTACTTCGTTTCAGCAGAAGTCCAGACACAGCAGACGCTACGAGGTAATAGCGAGTTTTCGTAGATCGTTTTATTGCAACAATAACTACATGTCGTCGAACTGAGTTTCCGCCCAGATGTGTAGCTCTATCGGTCTGAACCTGACGTCAAAGTTTCAAAGCTTGCCATCATATCATTCAGAAGTTATAAACGTTTTTCGGAAATTTTCAGTTGAAAGATATGGTTGAAAAAACCCCGAGACTGCGAGTAAACGACGCAACACTAAAAAGTCTATTCAGTTGAAATATATGGTGGCCGACAGAGCCTGGGAATACATAGAAATGAATGGCGCCAGCCAAGCGGGAACGGCTCCCGCTTTCCAATAGACCGATGCCCCAAGCGAACTGCGCAGGCGCGCGCATTCCGGAAGTATTGCCGCCGCCATGCTACTTGTAGTCATCGCTCTCCGGCTTCCCGGCTGAAAAGTGCTCATGTGGGCGTACATCATAGTTTGGGAAGCCGTGGTGTTAGCTTGGATTCTCCTGCATATCAGCATTTTATACGATTGTGTTGTTTGTGATGCCTTAGTTTGTCATCAAGCGCAAAAAAAAAAAAAACAGTTTTGGTTGTCTTATCGTTTTAGAATCGCTTTGTCGTCTGCTTAGTCGTCGTCCGCTTCTTCGCCTTCGTGAACGCGCGTGAACCCACTGCGTTCACGCGGTGGTCTTACTGCAACAGCGGGAAAAACAACGAGACCGCTACTCCCTCGTGCACTCCGGGTGCTCATACGTCTCAATAAACTTGGAAGCAAGTGAATATCTACCTCAACGTGAAAGAGCACAAAATTCGAGGGACTATCGGCTCGGTGTAGCACCATGGAACAGCGTCAAATGTGTCGGTGAAATACTGAGCTATGTAGTGCGCAGGCTTGGGCATAACTTTTATTCGACAAGGAAAACGAGCTCAATAGACATTCTCGGAGAGCGATAGTTTTTTAAAACTCGTTTTATTCTGGTTGACAGCCTTTGCGACAGGGTACAGGTGAACTGCGGGGGGAAGCCTGCACACAAAGAAACGATCCACAAAAAGAACCTGCCTGAAGAGCCGTAACAACTCGCATTTGTCAAAATAAAACGTAACCATGCGAGATGCCTGAGAACTTCGGGTAGAGATGAGCTTTTGTGTACAGTTTCTATTCAATTTTATTTGGTTAACGGTAAAATGTTTTTTTTTCCGCTGTGTCGATTGGTGTTAATACAGAATGGATCAGTAACGCCAGGCAAAATCAGGTTGTGGCATAATAGCCCACCAAAAAAAAAAAAATTAAGTCTGATTTGGAAAAAGTCATTTTATTTTAAGTTTATTTCACACTGATCTTTTCGAAGCATAGTTGTGCTCAAAACATGTCGTATCTATAACAGTTGTAACCACCAATATGCATCAAGCAAACATTGTATTAAAAACCGTCGCAGCAAGGCAGTGTGGAAGTTCCGATTGAGATAGACCAACGGATATAGCGCTACGGAGCGAGTGCTCAGGGAGATTCCAACGTACGGAACACTTTATCACGCCCTACTACGGCTCATGCCCTGTGTAAGCTTACCCTCTTTAGTTATCGTGCAATGGGGTGAATATAAATTATGAATCAAACAACGAAACAAATCTAAAAACTCTTTTTCCTGCCGCTCTTCTACCGCTCTCTTGACCTTTTTTAGACACTCTTTTCGTGGGCTGCTTTCTTTCGGGAAGACATAAAATCCGATGCCTTTTTGCCTGGTGCTGTTATTGTAGCACCTTGACACAGAACGGGTGAAGACGCCCACTAAAAACCGTGAGTAAACGGCCGACTAAAAGACTCGTGCTAACCTGAAAATTGACAAACGCCGGCTGTACAACGCGCCTTGACGCGGCCAGAAAACTGGGGAGAACTACAGGTACCAGAATAAACCGCGGCAGCGGTGGCGTCGTGCAACTCCTTGTGAGATCGGTCTATTGAAAGGTTATGAAAATGACGTAACTTTTGAATAAGAAGACGGTTCGTTCCTAAACTTCTGTGTCCGGGCCGCTATAGCACTACATTTGGGCGTAGACTTAGCGTTCGGCAATACGTAGTTTATTTCTGAAAAAAAGAAAAAAAAAAAGATAGGAAGGTTTATGGTTGTGAGCACTGGTTTTCGTTTTTAAATATTGAGGGTCATAACTCGTTTTATTTTTTAGTTCCTTTTATGATCGTGAACAAACTGTGATTCCGCCCAAGGAGTCGAGTTTTAATTTAAAAAAAAGTCCTACGAGAACATAAAAAAGAGTGCTCTTTCCTGATTAATGAATACTGAATTGTGCTAAAATTCCGAGTTCATTCCCAAGAAAGAGGAAGATCTCAGGAGCCAGCTGCCTGGGGGCTTTGTTTGTCCTGTGTCAATGTAGCAGCGATGCCAAAATGTGGATGCCCCATGAATAAAAAAAGGCTCAATCCTGACAGATATCAATTCTCGGCTTCCATCATGCGTTATACCCCACTTTAACTTTTCCCGGAGGCTAATTGCTTGGAGTCTCCAACTGCCTGCGTGCTGTGACGTACACTTTCATCGACACACTGCGTGATGCAAAGTCGTCGGCTTTTTTATGAGAATGTGCGAGGATGAAGAGCACGGAACCACCGTTGCCAATTTAGCAGTTTTTTATGCTAGGTCTAGTGGGTTTTTTTTTTAGTGAATTGTCTTGCAAGAAAAATTGCCCTTTTCAGGGTGGCGGGATTTCTAGCGAATTTTAAGTTGCTCGCGTTCTTTCTGGAGATATTGCAGTTTTAATTTTTCAATTATAAATAAGGGTCGTCATCTTCGCTTTCGCTCAGCAAATTGTTATTGTTGTTAAGAAGGGTAACGCTTGCGACGCTATTGACATGTTACAGTGGCAGGCATGGGAACACGCTTTGAATTGATTTGTGCGTGAATGTATGGAGGTTTTTAAATATTTCATGTTAAAATGGGCCCAGTAAAGTACGCACGGAACTTTAAATAAAAGCGGGCTGTAGGATATTGGAGATGTTATTGAGAAGCTAGAGATGTTGCTGTTACACAAAAGGTGAGAATCTTGCAGGTGTGCGTCCACAGGTGTGCAGCGCACCTGCCAGCGAAGACAAGACAAAGCAGTGAATATCGTTATGTGCATGGGAGAATTCCAAGAGAAAAATTGAGAGCTCACTTTTCTGCGTTCTTTTGCTTATCAAACTGGTTCCAGACTAATTAGAGCAAAATGTGTAATAAAAAGGTCACTTTCTCTTGGTTTATGTTTAGCTGTTTTTAGTAAATTTTTTTACTGATTCCTATTGCGGGTTCTAGATCTTTGAGTAGGCAACACTGTGCACAACGTTGAAAGAATGAAAAGTAGATTTGACACATCACAGCCCCAACAAGAAGATCAGAAACGGGAAGGTAAGTGGAGCCTTTAAGAAACTTAGCCACAGGAAGTATCCAAAAAGTTTGAGAACAAAGTATCTCAAATTTCTTCATAAAAATGCCTACTAGTTCCTCATACGTCCATTTTCTTTCTGGTTGTTTAGAAATATCTAAACAACCAGAAAGAAAATGGACGTATGAGGAACTAGTAGGAATTTTTAGGAAGCCATTTGAGAGATGTCAAAATGAACAAATAGGAAAGCGAAAACAAAAGCACAAACCAAAAAGCTGGTGGGATAAGGTGTTCAAGGCAGGCCATAGCACGACGCCAAGATGTATCTCGGGAGCATAGGGGGGCAAAGAAAAGAGGGGCCATTTCAGCAGAAGTAGCCTCAAATCGGGGGTATACTTCCAGGAGAAGAAAAGTGACGCATTCGCTTAAATACAGACCAAAATTGGAAGTGTAGAAGTACAGTGGATCCCTTCACTGGATCCCTTCAAAGCTCCTGACTTTGCGTCTCTCGGGTGATCTCGTGGAACTTACGATAAGGCTCGAGAGCTTTGCGTACGTGTTCGTCAGTAAGAAGAAAAGGAACCCAGTGCAACTTGATACGCACCTCCGACTTGGAGGGGTCGATCACAACGCACTTCTAGGCCTTGACCTCAAGTATTTTTACGGCCACCAGCTTGTACTTCGCGGCGAGCAACGTGAGGGTGACCAGACGAACATGATTTATTTGGTATGAACCGCACGCGACGATGTCCCTGAACTCGCCGGCCTTGCTCAATCCGTCCCGAAAATCTTGGATGCGATAAGGGCGTCCGCTGATATCACACTGTAGGAACACGGTGTTGAGAGCGTACATGCCCATGGGCAGGTTGGAAGAACAACTCAACAATCCAGGATTTTGGCTGCCGCTGAAAAACCACGGTTATCAGCCGCTGATACCGCTCCGACGGAGAACATGATTCTGCGTGTGTTCGCTGTCGCTGCCGTAAGAAGAAGCCTAGGCCATGTCCGCCCCACGCCCTGCTCAATGATAAGGAGAGCACGAGAAGCGGATGAGAAGGCGATGCGAACCGGGACCGTTAACGCTATCGTGTTCCACTCTTAAAGGCGAAGATTTTGGAGCTGCGATTAAACTGATTGACCTCTAATGAAGTGCATACTGTAAACAATTTTATTTTTTCGGGCTCGATATTTAGGAAATTTTGTGAGTAATTCGCGGGGAGGGTATATGGCGATTAGGGGTTGTTTCCTACGTTTTTTTTCTATTTTTGGCGGTATTAGTAAAGTCGAGAAATTTGCGAAATTGAGGTTATCGGGGAAAATTAATTAAATCGCTCACAGTAGAAGGGTATGCTCATTTCTCTCCAAACACGAGTCAACCCCCTTCGCCGCTCAAACCTACGCCGTTTTTCCACCAAGGTTGATTTTTTTCAAAAGAAACCAAAAATAAACTTATCTTCTCCCCGGCCGGTGCCGATTCCGACATTCAAACGCAGCATAGCGCTTTAAAATCTTCCAGGCACATGGAAAACAAATCAGCAACAAAATTGCTGCCTTGTTTTCCCCCGCAGTCTAATATAACCAGACAACACGTGCGTTTTGTACTCTCGAACCGGAAAACCGGAAAACGGTGGATTGTGACAACACCTGTGACAATATGAAAAGAGAGTGGAAAGCTTCGGGTCTATGAAAGATCGAACGGCTCAGGCGAACCCTTACCTCACGTACAATGAGAGCCGCGATAAAGTTTGGGATTGGCATTTGTGTTGCCCTTGTGCTTTCAGTCATTTTCTTTACCTGGTGAGTTGGTATTTTATCCAATATCCGAACTCCTATATTACGGGGCCCTCGGTTGTGTCGCCTATCCGAGTAAGCCATTGAGAAAGTAGGAGCGTGACAAGTGATAGCGTAGCGTACTCATCTTGTACGAAGCTGTCACGTGTTTCACTTCGCCTCTCTGATGCGCTCGAGGGGGCTGCTTAAAACCTTTAGTTAGGTACGTGGCGGGGCTGGTTGATTCATCTTAGTTATACATATAAAATAGTGAAAAAGAGGCAGGGAAACAAACAGGACACGCGTTCGCACTTGTCTTGTTTACTTGGTGTCCCTGTCTTTTTTGATTTTGCGCTATTTTATGATTGCTTAAAAATGCTCTTTAATCAATTATTCTCCAGCAATACAGGCGATAGAAACCAACCGAAAGTCATACAAAGTTGAGAAACCATAAAATATGGCAGGGCATTTCATTTGATCATTGTTGCATTTTCTATATTATATATATATATCTGGCCGATTTCGCTTCGTTTTGGTAATGAAATTGTTAGAGGTTTTTGCTTCATCGGATCAGCACCTATGCTATCATTGCGTCGGCGAGTCACTCTTGTCCGTCCCGTCTCGCACACGTATCTTTGTATTTATTGAATAAGCTGAGGAGTTGTTGTGCTTGATCGAGGTCATATTTGGAGCCGCATGCTACTTCCATTAAGGACATGGGCAGCTAATTTTTCACGAGGTGGGTTAGATACTTCCAAGGGAGAGTAAAATTCACATCACCAGACCACTGTGGAATTGAACAACCCTCCCTAAACTGGAGCGCTTCATTCGTTATATTGGTGGCGCGGAAATGAACATATCCCTTGTTGAAACCTTCGAAGGTTCTTGAAGTCCAGAAACAACCTCGAACATGACATCTCCAGCAGCGACCACAATACCGTCCGAACAGTTATGTCTATCTCGTTTTTGGTGAGATCAGATTGGGGTTGGAGCAAAGCAGAAGTTTTCCTCTCTTGGCCAACATTGGCGGTTGACTGCACAAGTCGATGCGATGGTTCCATCTGTGGTTCTTGGGAGAGAACAACCATTAGCTTTGTAAAAAATCAAGTCCGATAATACATTCTTTAAATATATTGGCAACGTAAGTGACATGACTTCTGTGAATTGTAGCGCGACTAAAAAGTTTAAGGTCTCATGACATGATGATGGTTCGCAGTGAACACATGCAATGGCATACGTACAACACTACGGGAGTTCTTTTCATTTAAACACATCCAGGCCTAGCGAAGGGAGTGATGGCTCCAGTGTCAATCAGCATTATCCATGGGAAGCCTTGTACATCCCCTTCTATAAAAAGTCCATCTTTGTCGGCACGTAACTTTAGGATCTGCAGCGCTGGGACCGGCTCTCTTTCTTTCTCTCTCTTTTCAGACAAGTTTCCCTGTGCAGAATGGACCCGCCCTCTTTCTTCATCGGTACACCGCCTGCAATACCTCTGAATCTAACCCACTCGCCAGCAGCGCACGCACGAAGGAGATGGTCTTTGGCGTACTTTTTACCCCGATAACTACGGGATCTTGGGAGGCTTGTCGATTGATATTACGGAGTCGAACCGGGGGTAACGCAGTCAACACGCCTGACTGAAAATCACATGGCATTCTGACCCGCCCGGGCACCCACGGCTTTCCGTGTTGCTTCTATGCCCATGGCTCGTGCCACAGCCTAACTCAGGCAGGCAATGGCAAGCATACAATTTGTTGTACCTGAGGGTCATCAACGACGTCCGCAAAGTGGCCCACAACAATACAGTCTAGTTCCGATGTTGTACAGCTATTATAGGTGAGGCGTGGAAGTCTCTCAATGCCAGTGGTGAGTTCTGACAACGACTCCTCTTTTCCCTGAAATGCGAGATTGGATTGTGGCACGGTAAAATCACCGAACATGTTTTTTCGTCAAAGCGCCGTTCCATAGAATACACGGGGGTCTTGTATTATTGCTGTAAACCAGAAAGAAGATTTTCAAGCAGCTCTGAAGCACGCCCTTAGAGCCTGGATGCCAAGAAACTTCTCGTGACGTCGTGGTCTATTCACTCAAGCCAGCAACTAGTTCAAAGCGCAAATGGAAGGCACTACAGGGGCTGCGTTCGTAATACAGTCAAACCCGTTTACAACGAACCGCAGGAAACGCGACGATCAGCTCGATATAGCAAGTAATTCGATATAGCAAAATCCATTTACAACGAACTTCCATGATGCGTTCGTTGAAAGCAGAGTTTGTTCTTTTGCTTATTTCCCTTTCTGAATCGCTTCTCTTCGTAGGCAACTGTTTTGGGATGAAGTTCTTTTTTTTTTTTTTTTTTTTCTATGCGCGCGTGCAGAGTGTATTTTTTAGCGTTCTCCCTTTCTGAATTGTTTCTTTTCGCTCAATTCTGTTCGCAACTTCAGCTTTTAAAATTTTCTCTCTTTCTCGTTTCTTTTTTTTTTTTTTTCTTTTTTTTTTTTGGGGGGGGGGGGGGGGGGGCACGGGACAGGCTAGAAGACAATTGTTTCCGCGTTTTTGGAAGCCCTCCCGGGAGGAAAAAGTTCGATACAGCCAATATGTTGTTCGTTGTAAAAAGTACTTTTTACATGCATTTTTATTTAAATTTTCTGTCAGTTCGATATCGACAATAATTCGCTGTACGTGGGTTCGTTCTAAATGGGTTTCACGTATGTATTGAGCTCCACAGCCATCTTCTTAGGAGGTAAAGCACGTTGATACTGCCATACATTTGCCTTATCGGAAGCAATCTTTTGATGTTCGTAGTCATTCACCGTAGCTCCTGCACTATGAATGGCTAGTGAAACCCCGCTCTTTGTGCCGCCGTCACCCAATGCCCCAGTGTTCTCATCGTACTGTGGCAGTGTCGTAGTAGGTTTTTAGTTTTGTTGATCGATGCTGTGACCATGCAGTCCCACGTTGCACGTCAACCTCGGGAGATAGATCTCTCTATTTCTTTGTGGGAGCTTCCCCCCTGGCGACGGCTCTGCTCCTCTCGCAAGCTGGCTAACTATATATGCTTGTAGGTATACTGGTCGCCTCCAGGACATGGTTAGACTGGAAGGTGCTGCGTGTTTCCATGATTCCACTTCGGACATCAAATGTTATGTTTATCGAGTGTTACGGAACCATCGTTCATGGTGTTGCTTCTTGCTTGTGTCCTTCTTTTTTGTTGTCGCACATTTTTGTCTCATACAGATGCGCTCCTAGAACAGTAATAGCTAATGTTGGACTTAATTTTATAAGTAGTCCTGTAAGTATAACTATTTACGCAGTTGCTCATCTGAAAGAAACATTTTGCGGTGCTAGGAACAGCCTAAAGGAGACGTAGGGCGCGGATGCCCCATAGTGTCTAGACTCTGGATTGAGGGGAAGTTCTACAGGAGCCTATTAATATAATAGAACTCACTTCCTGTCTGATGACATTTAGAATTAACTAGAACATTTATTTCGCAAAATTTTATTGTTCTCTCTAGCGATGTAACTTTTTTTTTTTTGGTGGTGGTGGGGGGGGGGGGGGGGGGTTATATACAACTGTATTTGCAGTTTTTGTGCTGCTATATTTGTGCTGATAGTGTTGCAAGTGTGATGGGATCTAGTCAGGCGACCTCTTTTGCATCAGTTTCAAGAAAATTTCGTACTGTCCGAAATTCGAAATAAACGAACACAATTCTGTTAAAAGCGCCTTTACAATCCAAGAAATACCCGTGGTTCGTTTAATGAACAAATGTGTCAAACTATATTCTAATCTTCCGAATTTCGTGCGTTATGTTAAAGCTTCTTGTAACGTTTCTTTGTTTTTTGTATTGGTTAATACAGCGATTTCATGGCATACGAAGCGATAATAAGATGCTCGGCACTGGCCCCGTCCTGCGTTTTTTAAGCTGTCAGTGACTTAGCAATCAGCCTTGATGCCAACAGTCTATATTTTGTATTTATCATTACCCGTAATTACCAGGGATGCGTTTACGCAAATACTACAACAGCGGATCGAATTGAGAGGGAACCGATCATACGCGCCCAGTCCCTCTGCTTCTTGCAGTTCTATACAATCAAAATCCTCATATCTCGATTCGACACGTTACGGTTAAATCTATGTATCCTCAGTTATGAGCTGGGCTTACATGAATGCGATCGCAGCGCATGTAATCGAGAAAGGACCAATCACACACACACACTGCTCCCTACCTCTTCCTCTTCTACCCACCTCCAACCAATCAATACGGTAAAATCTCGAGTCGATGCGCTACGGTCGCATCCTCCATGTAAATCCAGCCGTGAATGCGAGCGTAGCCGGTCGAATCAAAATTCGACGATTGTGATTGGGCGTGTAGAGGAAAACGTAGAGGTACTCGGCGCGTATAATTCGCTCCCTTCGCATTCGATGCTCTATACTGTCGCGTTCATGTAAACGCCGTTATTGATCGCATTTATGAGTCGGAGCCGTACGCGCAGTTCAGGAAAACTTCATATTTTCAGAATGATAACGCTTTGATGTGATATTTGTTGCAGGCTACACCACGTGATTTCTGTTCAGGCATCAGTGATCACCAAGCCCTCCTCCACACCGCCAAATATCATCTTCTTTTTGGCTGATGACCTGGTTCGTGCTCACGGAGATGCCATTCACTCTTTATGTATTTTTTTATTTTGTAGCACCATTACTAGGGGTATCGCAAACATGCCGAGATTTCGAATTTGAACAATTTCGACTTTTTCGAACTTGAAACGCGAAGTTTCGACGAAATTTTCGATTAAAGTTTGACTGTTACGCCCAAACGGAGGAATGAAAAATGTGCCGAATCTGCCTAGCGGAATAAGGTTGCAGTATTTATGGGGCGTATTATTTCACAATACGAAACGAATTAAATAATGAAAAGTGTATTTGTTTACTTTGTTTATTTATCTGTTCGAAGTACCTTTCGGGTCCATTTCTGGACATTAGAGGAGGGGGGATTCAGTCGAAATACTGTATAAACACTTTTTAAAAACACATACACGAAACGAAAGAGCTCGGGTACGTTCTCTCAGCCATTAACAATTTTAGCAGAAACGCAACGCAATTTCTACATTTTAACACTCTTTCGGGAAAATCGTGTATCGTGCAAATAAGTAAAACACTCTTTGAGTAAGAACATCACGACAAATAAAAACTGTAGGACACTCGATTAATCTAATATAGCTGCTCGAAATTATGCAGCAAAAAAAGTATGAGACGAAACACTTCACAAATTACTTTTTTTTTTCCCCAATATTTAGAAATGTTGAGTAAAAGTCAGGCAACACGGCCCAAGAAGTCGATATAAAGGGAGGTTCAGATATCAGTGTTTTGATTAGGACCGACTGCACTACTTAGGACCGATTACAACTTCATTTTTCATTTCATTTCATTTTATTACCTTAAAGACCCCCTTTTAGGGGGTATTACATAAGGGGTGGGGTTACAAAAATAATCAAACATAGGTGCTATGGTCTTCAGGATGAGAGATGATTGGTAACATTTTCGAAGAAGATTGATGGGCAGGTGATGGCAGCAATGTGGTGGGGAAGGCCGTTCCAGTCTGGAGCTGCTCGGGGGAAGAATGACGCAGAAAAAGTGACAGTGCGAGCGCGTGGGCGAGCAACCTGGAGAGGATGACTGGTGCGGTGAGATATGCGTGTGGGAGGTACGATGTAAGGTGAGATACAGAGGAGGGAATTAAATAACTTGTGAAACAAACAGAGGGTAGCGATGCGGCGACGACAAGCGAGACTAAGTAAACCTGATTCAGCTTTCAGGGGTGATACGCTGGTATGGTACGAGTATGAAGAATGAATGAATCTAGTTGCGCAATTTTGGACTGCTTCGATTGCGTTGATGAGGTATACTTGGTGAGGGTCCCAGACGGCGGATGCATATTCAAGCTTTGATCTTATTAGTGATTTGTAGGCGAGTAGTCTTACTTCCTGAGGGGCGTGGCGTAGTTGACGTTTAAGGAATCCCAGGGTTTTGTTAGCAGATGAGGTAATGTTAGTAATATGCGTACGCCAAGATAAATCGCTGCAAAGGGTGACACCAAGGTATTTATATGATTCGGTTAATTCTACACTCTTAGAAAAAAGGGTACGGATAGTCCTCCCTTACGGGAGGAACGGTCTTGTAACCTATGTTCCTTTAGAAAGGGAGAAACCTTCGTCCCTGAAGCAGGGGAGCAAAGTTCCACCGTCGCTTGCATCTCAATATGGCGGCCCCGAATCGAGAAAATCGAGCCCAATAAGGCTTAACGAGGACGCTACGTCTCTTGTACGGGACGAGAGCAGCAGCAAATAAAAGCGTAACACCAGCTTTCCGCAAACTGTGTTTATTTCCGAAGCCAGACTCCCCCCACAGGTACGGACACCTGCGTTTCGAAAGCAGTTACTCAGTCTTCTCGTCGACAGCACTGCGATGTTAAACGGAGACAACCGATACGTAGTTACTTCGCGCACTTTGCGTCTTACCTTTGGTGTTCCTCGAGTCACAATTCCTTCGTCAACCGCACATCACGGAGAAGGGCAAACTCACTCCGCGAAACCAGAAGTCGCTCTCGAAAGAACGAACTCGAAGCCGCTGTTTATCGCGTAGCGTGATAGAAGGTTAAATCGCTAGCCACCAGATGGCGGGGTCAAGCAGAGTAATTGCAAGTAGCTAGGCTAGGTGGCGCTAGGTACCGCCCAATTCATGTTCTACAAAAAATAATTTGCTTCTCTCAGGCCACTACTGTGCTTGAGGACCCCCTACTATACACACATGACACCCATACACTTATTACAACATCAGGTGAACATACATTAAGCACATGCACTGCACACACAAATATCAATTCAACGGAACACCACACTAACCCGAACACTACACCCGTGCTCTGCGTTTCCGTCTTTTATACTGGTCGTTTTGAACGTGCGGAACTTTTCGGTGACTCCCTAAGCAATAAAAAATATTCCCAGCATGTTGATTTTTTCCCTGCAATGTCATACCTCTGAGAGTATTTTGAATGGCTCAGGGGTTGAATCTCTTATTAAAAAGTAAACGCTCAATCATGCCGTAATTATTTGAAAGCCAATAAATCAAGCCGCTCCAATGCGGTTCGAAGTCATGAGTTTGTTTCCCCACACGGCAAGTCGTGGCTTGTATTTCTATTTGTTTTTCTATTTGTGCTGTTCGCGCGAAGCTGCAATTGCCGTTTGAATTAATCTCTGTAGAGTGGATATTCAGTCAGCTGGAAGTGATGCTTCACGGACTGAGAAATTGCTTTTCGATCAACTTGAATGCAGTCAAAGCCGCGACTTGCGGCAGGTGTTAAGTGTACGGAACTACGCCGTGGCGAGCCCGAAAACTTCTAGCGCTCATCCCAGCGCGCCACGGAGGGCAGTTTCTCCAGCAACCGTAGTATAATTAAACAGCAAAATTAAGGGTAGCTTTTTTTTCGATTTTACCTACTATTGTTTTTAATGCCGAAATTCCATACTGTAAATATACGCACTTTACGTCACGCTTTCGTACTGTTCAGTCCTTGCCCCTGAGCGCAATCGCTGTCGGGGACGAGACAATTCCGACAGTCACATTGGCCACTGTACGGTAGGAGCTTCTACTGTTCAGACCAGCGTTCCAACATGACTATCCGCACGTTGATCGATTGCACGTAATCTCTCAAGTGGTATTAAACTTTTTAATGTAAAGCGGAATGTCAACCTGCGACACCCCGCCCCCTCCGATCACAACCCGACCAGCGGCATTAATGCCCAACAGTTTACGATCTCATCTTCTTGTTACACCACTGATACGCGAACACATGGTCACATCGGCGATAATTCCAGTCTTCTGTTCACAACCCAACACTGTCATCACGATGTTGCAGCTATGTTGCTGACACGCACAAACACAAAACCACGTTGAACGCCGGTTGCACTCGGCATCGGAAAACAGAACCGAACTCAGGGGGGAAGGCACCCAGGCAGCCGGCAGCAAAGCCTGCCTGTCTTGGACGCAGTTCCTGCAGTTTCCATACGTCGAAAACGTCGACACAGTTCCGCGTGCTTTCGCTACTGTAGTCTGTAGTGCTGCAACCTGCAGTGGCTGTAGTTCCGTCGTTCCGTGCCGCGCGAGAGTACTTCTAACCTCCTTGCGCGCGAGTCACGCAATCCGGAGACGGCCATCCCCCAGTGTACGTGGCGCTGCTGGCACTGCTCCGAACTTCGCTGTTTCTAGCGGCTTCGTTTGCTCGTTTGATAAAATTAGTGATAAAAACGTCAATGCAACCGAAATGTTCTGGACGTTTAAACTAGAAGATGGAATTACAGGCGGCCTTCGCTGCCGCTGAAGCTCAATCAACTCAACAGCTATTTATTAAGCAACGCGCGCGACCTGCTCGAAAAACGAAACCGAAAGACGATGAGTCGGGAGGATGAAAGCTTTCTCCCGTCTGCCTGGAGAAGGAGAAAAACATTTCGTTCCTCCCCTTTTCTCGTGTCCGCTTGGGGGCGCGTCGGTAGAAGGGAGGAAGGCGCGCCGTTGCTACTTTTTTCCTCCATTTTTTCTTAGAGTGTACGGGGGTGGTAGTGATGGTTTAGGGAAAGAAAAGGGGATTGCGGCGGCGGTGAAAGGACATAACTTTACATTTAGTAGAGTTAAGTGACATTAACCAACGGTCGCACCATTGCAGCACGCGGTTAAGGTCGTTTTGGAGAGCAGATTGGTTCGATACGTTAGTGATGGAATGGTAGATGACGCAGTCATCTGCAAACATGCGAATATTACAAGATGAATGTTGCGGTAAATCATTAATATATATTAAAAATAAAAGCGGACCAAGAACAGACCCTTGGGGGACGCCCGATGTGACTGGGATGAGATTAGAAGACTGGTTGTTAACTAGGACAGATTGGGAGCGGTTGTTAAGAAATTCTTTGATCCATCGTAAGATATTATAGTCTAAGTTCAACTGAGCAAGTTTTAGTAGCAAGCGCTGATAAGGTACTTTGTCAAATGCTTTTGAAAAATCTAAAAATATGGCGTCAGTTTGTATGTTAGAGTCGAGGTTAATGTCCAGATCATGAAGAAAGAGGGCTAACTGAGTTTCGAAGGAGAATCCTTTACGAAAGCCGTGCTGCGAAGGATGGAAGAAGTCGATCGAGTCCAGAAAATGCATGACTTGAGAAAAAATGACGTGTTCCATGATTTTACAAGGCACGCTCGTTAGAGAGATAGGGCGGTAGTTTAATGGGGATTCTTTATTACCTGATTTGTAGACGGGAACGACCTTTCCCACCTTCCAGTCTTCCGGAATGTTACCTGTAGAAAGTGACTGAGAGAATAACAAGGACAAATATGCTGCAGAGATGTGTTTAGTATTTTTTAGAAATTTGGAATTAATTTCGTCTACGCCGGCTGATGATGACAGTTTAATGTTATCAATTACTGACGCAATACCATCAGCAAAAAAAGTGACGGGAGACATTGGATACTCGGTGTTTGCAGGGAGCATTGTAAATGACACATCAGATTCTGCAGTGAAAACCGATGAAAACGCGGTATTGAAAACGTTCGCACATTCAGCATCATTCACAGGTTCGCCCAATTCATTG